GCAATCAAATGGTTCATTTCAGATTCAAATCCCTTGAACATGCTATTTTTCTCATCTTCAAACTTATTAAAGATGTTATTCTTCATCTCTTCTAACTCTTTGGCTCGATCTCTTTCTCTTTGCATTTCATTCATGATCTCGCGATGCTCAGCCTTGTGTTTTATAATTCGCTCTCGTCTGTCGACCTCAAAATCTTCCATTTTTTGCTTTCCTTTTTCCAGGCTTTTGAGTAGACGGCTATTCTTTCCCTTCAGATCTTCAACTCGTCTTTTCTCGATGTTCAACTCTTTATTCATCTGTATTGTTGCTTGGCTTGATCCTGATGCTTTTCGGGATTTATATAATTCCTGGTAATTTTTCTGTAAGGCTCTGTACTCATCCTCACCTTTTTCTTTATCTTTTCTCAATATTGCACATTGTGACGAATGAAAGTCAATGTCAACCCCCAACATAGCTTTATCTTGTCTCATTTGCTCTAATTCTTTCGACCAGTCTTCTCTTTCTGTTTCAAACTCAGCTCTCAGGATTTCAATCTCTGATGGAACTACCTTGATGCGATCATCCATAGAAATATCCTCATTTTGATCTGGTAGAGGAATATTTTCGTTTTTCCTGACAGATCTCCATTCTTCATAATCAGGAGTTAACATTTCTTTTGCTGCTTTAGCTCGGATGCAAAAAGTTGTTTTCCAAGCTGTAACGGCTTCCATGATGTTTCTTTTATAATTTTTGCTGTGAAATGCAAACTCAGATGACTGTAGTCCAGCAGTGACAGGTATAAATTGACGACCTTCATACTGTCTTATAACCAGAAGTGGTGCATATCCAATTCCTCCCCATAATCCGAGCAACATTATCCAGTTATAATCACCACATTTGTAAATGAATTCTCTTTGTATTTGCCACGGGGCTCGCCAAACAATGTCATTGCTTTGCAGATTTCGAAAGGCATTAATCCACATATCTTTCTTAATTTCTTTCGGCCATTCCTGCTCCAGAAATTCCTTTAATGGTGAATAATCCGTATTAAAGCGTCGGTATGAAATCTTTTCTGTTCTCCAGAAATGACTACGGATCCAAACATATAACAACTGAGTACACCCTGAGAATCGTCCACCTCCTAGCCTTCTACAAGCATTTAACGATCTGAAGGTTTCTGCTAGGATTGCAGAAACAAGATTAATCTTCTTCGGTAACTGTTCAAACAAATCTACCACTGCAGCTTCAACATATCCCAATACTTTTGGGAAGATGACCATACCATATATACCCAGAGCAAATAGATCGAATCGTACTTTAATATCTGGATGGCTCTGAATAAGTTCTCTGATGTTGGTCCAAGCAATGCCTTCGCTTTCGCCTTTTTGTTTTGTACGGGATGCTACCCATTCTTCTCGTACCCCGGCAATCTTTGCTAGTTTAACTCGAAAGGGTTGAGTTTTAATTGACTTTGAATAAATTCGATTCTCCAAAGTCCCATCTATATGTAGCAAAGTTGTGTATTCTTCAATAGTAGGGACCAAATCTTCTTTATTGAGAGTGAAGCAATTGTACCCCGGATTCCAGAATTGAACTAGGGCTCTGAGTAATTCATCATCAACTTCAATATAGAGCAAATATGGGATGTCTCCGTAAGTCTGATAAAACTGCAATTTTTTGTTTGAATCCCAACTTTCCCAAATGCTTCGCAAATCTTGCATATCATTTCTTTTTAGTGAAACTGAAGCATAACTGGCCAAGTCAGATACATAATCATCCTGCAGACTGTCTCCTTCTTGTCTTTGTAAATCCTCAGCCCACTGTCTTACTTCTGAGTTTAGAATTATTTGACTTGAACACTTTTTATCCATAGATGAAGGCTTTCCAATGAGACAATTAACACAAGGATCAATGTCTTTTATCCTGTATGATGCAATGCAAACAGAAAAATAAAGAAAACACAAAAAAGAAAATAAATTAGTTTACATAAAAAATTCAATAATAACATTTATTTAATTTAAACATGCTTTTCTAAATTTAAATAATTTAAATAAACATGTAATTTAAACAATAAATAAATTAACAGGAAAGACAGAATTCATTTCTCCTGTGTGTACACCTATTTTGGACAAAATTTCGGCATGACTTCGGATTGGAAGAGTTTCTAAGGTTTTTTATATGCAGGGTTTCAGATCTAGGAGTAAAGGTACTCGAATTGTCCATGTTAGTGCCCCCTTAGGCTGCTAACCCTCAACCCTAGTCCATCACAGACTAAAGTGGATCGAGTTCAATTCGAGGGGATACATTTCTCTATGTCTGACACGGAGAATAAATTCTCACGAAGACATAGAGCATATGAACCCCGGAAGTTAATTGCTAGGTCTGACACGGAGAATAAATTCTCACGAAGACGTCGCTTTCACTCCCACTTAAAAGGGACAACTTAATTATAAAGCTTTATGTAATGCAATGCAAGTGTTGTGTGTGAGGAGAAATGTTCATACCTCTGACAAAATAACTAATAAAATAAAATACTTGCAAATAAAACATATAAATATTATAAAAATAATAAATACATAAAAAATTTGAAAAGAAAGAATTAAAAATTAAATATATGAATTTTTAATTTTTAGTTAAAAGAGACAATTTATAATTACTTTTTAAAAGTTTGACCCGTGTCCCCAGCAGAGTCGCCAAGCTGTCGTAACCGGTTTTCGTCCGGGCACGAAAAATTAAATTTTGGCGGGGAAATTGATGTGAATAAATAATTTTGAAAATAATTTGAGAGTCGCCATCGGCCTTTTGGGTCAGGTAGGTCGAATACCTAAAAATTATCTTTTAAAAAAATTTTTAAGAAAACATTATTTAAAAGATGCACTGATCTGCGTTTTATAACCAAAAATTCATTCTTTTTAATAATAAAAAGGGATTCGTGGTCGGTTACGTTTAGGGAAGGATTAGCACCCCTACAACGCCCAAAATTGGTACTTTTTAATTATAAATTGTCTCTATTATTAAAATTTAAAAATTCAAAAAATATATTTAATTTATAATCCTATTATTTCAAAATTATATATAAAAAAAATATTTATTTATTTAAAAATATCCGAAAAGAACTTCTAGGTGCCTTAAGACAGTTCTTTTCTTTGATATTGATAAATATTAATTTAAATACTATTGTTTAATTTAAAATACCAGAATAGGACATCCAGTTGTATTAAGACTGTCCTTTTCTTCGATAAAATATAAAAAAAAATACTATTTATTATATGGATATTTATAAAAATATTTAACAATATAATAAAAATATTACTAAAACAACATATTTTAGGCAGTAAAATGAAAACATGTACATAACTAAATTATAAAAATAAAACTAAATCTAATTACTAATTAATTGAAGTTATAAGGATTAAATATTTTATTTTCTAATTTAATAATTTAGTGACCAAAATGAAATTATCTAAAATTCGACTTTTATAATAAAATTAATTAAAAAATATGAACTAGGGATAAAAAATTTATTTATTAAAATTAAGGGATCAAATCTGCTATTTATCCTAAATATATTATTTTAATAAAAAGGACTAAAATGAATAAAATTAAAATTCAAAGACTGAATTAAAATTATTATAAATTCAGTTTAGTGACCAAAATGTAAAATTTACAAATACGAGGGACTGCGGATGGGGTTTAACTATTTTATAATTACGCGCATAGTCCTTCCCGAAACGACGTCGTTCGGGAAGGACTATAAATGGTCCAAACCGGCTGGCCCGAAGGGCCAACCATTTCATTTCCTTTTTTTTCCTCTCTCTAGCAGAGAGAGTTTTAAAACTCTCTGCCTTCTCTCTAGCTTCCCTCATCGGAGGGAAGCCGGTCACTGGTCGGCCACCGTGTGCCGCCGTGAATGTCACCGCCGGCCACCGCATCCGGTGGCCGGAAAAAATTATTCTTATACTAATAGATAGATCGGACCGTCCTAAGGACGGTTCCGATGTTCTTTTTCCTTAAATGGCTCCCAATCGGAGCAGATCTGTAAATATACCTTCGGTATTTTTGGTTCTCCGGCGATGTTCAGTGTTTCCGGCGACGGTCAAGGCTTCCTTGGTAAGCCTCTTCTTCCTTTTTTTTCTTTTTTTTTCTTCTGGTTCTTTGCTGCTGAGATCGTTGGTATAGTTTGTTTGTTTTTCTTTTCTTTGTCTTTTTTTTTTCTTTCTCTCCGGTTCTGTCTCTGTCTCTGTCTCTCCTTTTTTTTCTTGCAGGTGGGGTGGTGGCTTTTATAGCCACCACCGTTGTAGCCGTCGGACCGGTCCGAAGAAGGGCTCTCGGTGAGTCACCGGACTACCAGTGGTGACTCACCGAGTAGCCATGGCGTGGACGGCTGGTATGATCTTCTGGAGCCTTCATTCGGGACGTGGCAGCGGCGGAGGCGGCGAGAAGACTGTCGGCAGCCGCGTGGAAGCTGGGGCGGCGCCGTGTGGCCCTAGGGTATCAAACCCTAGGGTTCCTCTCTGGAGCCATGTGGACCGTTGGATCGTGCCAGATCCAACGGCTGTGATGAGGCGGCTGAGGATGATTAGGGTTAGGAAACCCTAACTGGAAACCCAAATATTTAGGGTTTCTGGTTGGATTTGGACCGGTTTTAATTGATTTGTAACTGGGCCGGTTTAATTGTAATTGGTTTGTAATTTATATGGATTTAATATATTTAATAATAATAGTAAAAATAATAATAATAATAATAATAATAATAATAATATTAATAATAATAATAATAATAATAATAATAATAATAATAATAATATGGATAAAAAAAATAGTATCTTCACACTGATATCGTCTTTTCACCCTATGGGTACTATTGGAGACATCTTCGGAAACTATGCAACGAAGAGCTTCTGAGCGCGGCTCGGGTTGGCTCGTTCCGATCGATAAGAGAAGGAGAAGTGTTGAATCTCGTGGAAACCATAAAATCAAAAGCAGGGTTGGCTGTGAATTTGAGTGAGAAGGTATTTGTAATGACTTACGCCATAACAGCAAGGGCAGCCTTTGGGGAGAAGTGCAAAGATCAAGAAGCTTTCATATCCACTATATCAGAAGAAACCAAGGTGAACTCTGGGTTTTTTTCTTTCCGAATTTTTCCCATCACTTAAATTCTTGGATACTTTGTCTGGTCTGAGGCATAGAGTTGAAAAGGTTCATGGAGAGGCTGATAGGATAATTGAGAACATTGTTAACGATCACAAAGAGAAGAGAGCAAAAGCCACAAGTGAAGATGTAGTAGATAAGGAAGATCTGGTCGATGTTCTTTAAAGGCTTCAGGAAGTTGGCCCTTTCCCCTTAACTGATAACAACCTCAATGCCATCATCTATGTGAGTCCATTCTCATTCATGACATAAATCTGAATTTGGGTAACTGTTAATGTTAATAGTAACGTCGGTTTCAGGACATATTCAGCGGAGGAAGTGAGACATCATCAACAGTAGTAGATTGGGCAATGGCAGAAATGATTAAAAACCCAACAGTTATGAGAAAAGCACAAGCAGAGGTGAGAGAGGCATTCCAAGGCAAAGGGAATGTGGAAGAAACAAGGATTCATCAACTTAAATATCTAAAATGTGTAATAAAAGAGACATTAAGACTGCACCCAGTTTTCCCATTGTTGCTTCCAAGAGAAAGTAGCCAAAGCTGTGAGGTTATTGAATTCCGGATACCATCCAAGACCAGAGTCATGATCAACGCATGGGAAATCGGGAGAGATCCAAATCATTGGCCTCAACCTGAAAAGTTCGACCCCGAAAGATTCGTAGACAGTTCAATGGATTTCATGGGGACAAATTTCGAGTTCATCCCATTCGGGACAGGAAGAAGGATATGTCCAGGCATTTATTTGCACTTCCAAATGTGGAGCTACCACTCGCCCAATTGTTTTCAGCTTCAAATACTGTTTTTCGGCTTGAGGAACTAAGGCCATGGTGGACTCAGATACTGAGCCCGGAGGAGCTCAAAACAACCTACGCTTCCAACTCATATCTCTCTTCCACGAAAGAACAAGATAGGTTCTTGCCCATCGCTCACGTAGGCAGGATCATGAAAAAGGCTCTTCCCGCCAACACCAATATATCCAAGGATGCCAAAGAGACGGTGCAAGAATGCGTGTCGGAGTTCATCAGTTTCATCGCAGGTGAAGCGTCTGACAAGTGCCAGAAGGAGAAGAGGAAGACGATCAACGGCGACGATCTGTTGTAGGCCATGACTACGTTGGGCTTCGAAGATTACGTCGACCCCTTGAAGGGTTACTTGCATAGATTTAGGGAGATGGAAGGAGAGAAAATCGCGGCGGCACGTGATAAAGACGCGCCTCTCGATGACGACACTGTTGCTGGTGCCGGTAATAGTAGTGGGATCCATGGAATGATGGTGCACCAGTATCATGCAGGACCGTAAAAGAATCGAGCTTGAATATTGCTTCGACTCGATTCAAAAACTTTAAAATAGAGTTTAATTCGGCTCGAAAACTCTTGAGTTTAAAATTTTCAAGCTCAACTCGAACTCGAAACCTCAAATTGAAGCTTGAAATGAAAAAAAATAAACTTAACTCGAACGAATCTCAAACTTAAACTCAAACATTAACCTTAAATACATATAAATTTTATATTGTATTGTTTTTATAAAAAAAATCAACACATAAATCTTAGTGTTATTGATAATTTTTTTATAATAAAATCTTAGTATACACCATTCATTATTATTGCTTTATTGTTTTTTAATGAAAACAAAAGATTAATTTGCTAAGATTATTTTATAATGAAAAATATGTTTCTGATTCAGTTTTGCATGTTTTATAAATATTGTCGTATATTATTTATTTTATAAAATAAGATTAAAAGGTTTGATAATTCAATATATTCCTTTTTTTAAGTTAAGATATTTAAGATAGTATTATTGAGAATAATATCAGAAATACATTAAATATTCATTAGCAAATATAAGAGCACGTTTAGAAGAAGCCCAGTTTGCATTCAATAATCTATATACTTCGACAAGATGAAAGCTAACCACAAACAAATTAAGACGACAATGAATCAACAGACAAGCATAACTAACAGCCTCACTCTCCATGATTAACATTTACATTAAACGTATGCGAAGGTGGCCTCATTGCACAAACTTGAACATACTTTTAATATATACTTAATGTAATTTTTTTACTACTTTTTTAACTTCATCAAATTCTTTTGCACAAAATTATTATTGATTAAAAGTTAAAATGATATTTTAAAAAAAATGAAGATTTAAATATCATAAGTTCTTTTGTGAAAGGAAAGCTTCCTTCAATTATATCTTATAGACTCAATTATTTGAATCAAATTTTTACAATATAATATTTTTTTTATTGAAACCACTTAATACATTTATTTATTTAAAATATATCAAGAGTGTAACTCATATTCTTTATAATATATTTTATATAAAATATAAAAATAATTAAATAATTAGAAAAACATTTAAACTTTTGGAAATTAGTTCTAAATTTCAACGTTAAGACATGGAGAATCATAACCGTCAAATGTTTGTCTGGTTGTGAAACCTATTTGTCGGTGGGATTCCGCCAACGTCACATAGCTCATTCACTTTCCATCCACGTGGCATCGTCTCATTCAACTTTCCCCGTACTGGCTGTTCTCCGGGCACGTAGTATTTGTCCCACCACATGCATGAAACTTAACTCAAGTCCCCCATTATATTATCAAATTTGCCCTTATATTTCCAATAAAACCACGATAACATCTCTAACGTTGACCGGCTATTTCTTATTTTCTCATGAAATCTTGACCAGTTTGAATCTTAGCCGACATCCCGGCACCGTCAAGTTGGCACATGTTGTCGAATCGGACGGTGGTAATTTATCCAAGTTTCGGGATCAAAAACATTGACTAACTAACCTTAAACAATTAGATTGATTGCAACCTTAATATAACCGTTGAAGTTTTGGCACACGTGTAGATTATTTTTAGGTTTATTAACCGATTTATTTAAAGGTCTTGTTAGCACACTATAACTTATTTAAAAAGATCAATAGTCTCGACATATGATATTCGGAGTTCTAATTTCCGAAGGTACAACATAAAAAAAAAGGAGAAAACAATTTATAATAAAATTGAATTTTATATCAATATATGGTTCCGAAAATTTGTAAAATATATGAACCAATAAAAAGGAAGTGCATGGGATTGGGTGATGATATTCTATGCTTGCAAAATGGTTTAAGGTGCATGCAATTTAGGTAGCATATGTACTTAAAATGAGAATGCCTTGATTTCTGATGAAGAGATGCTAATAGCACGTGACCTGTTTCCTTGTGCGTCTTTACACAACCCCAAAACTTTGATTTTATTTCTATTCATTCCCAAAGTGTATCCCTTCCTTCTGCAGGTATCTGTGCTTACTTTAACATCAAGTTTGGGTCTTTAAATCCCACATCACTTAGATCCAATTGCTTCCCATCATTTCTCGTTCCTTTCTTTTGGAAGCACAATACCCAACTTTTGAGTTTGACCAAGAGTTTAACATAATTGAAGTTACCATTGGAACTCACACTTTTTAGTTAATATAGTTTGGGTTTATATTATAAAATTTTGAAAGATGAACTAGTGTGAATCTATTAATCTATCTCAGTAAAGAAATAGAGTTTTGTTTTCTTTAGAGATATTGATCAAGGACTAATTTTTTTTTTTGGTAAAAAAAACCCGCAGCAGAGTGGTTCACTTTGTAATTTAATCATATTCCAATCCCCTTCTCTCCTCAAAGTTCTCACCTTTCCCCGCTACAAAAACGCTCACTTTCCTTCACTTCCCGTTCAGTTCTTCAAACCAAAGGGACACACAACCCATTGAGTGAAGAAGGAAAACAGAAACCAACACAATGCAGCACGGACACCACCTTGTTCTTCTCTTTTTTCTCACTCTTTCACGTCTTCCAAACATCAAATGGCCACAACATCACACGTTTGCCCGCAAAACATCCGTCTTTATCAACATTCAACCATTACCTCACCCTCAAGCACTTGGCTCCAGAGATCAACCGCCGCACCACGATCACCGTCCTCGCCGTAGACAACGCCGCCATGCCATCTCTCTTGTCCAAAAGCCCTTCCATTTACACCACGAAAAACATCCTTTCCCTCCACGTCCTCCTCGATTACTTCGGTGCCAAGAAACTTCACCAGATAACCAATGGCACCGCACTCGCCGCCACCATGTTCCAAGCCACAGGGGTGGCTCCTGGGGTTTCGGGGTTTGTTAATATAACTGATTTCAAAGGTGGGAAAGTTGGTTTTGGGGTTGAAGACAATGGTGGGAGTTTGGATTCCAAACGACATCGTTTTGTTAAACGAGCCAAGTCAAACTCGAGTATTGTTGAGCTCGACTCGAACTTGAAAAATTTAAAAGTAAGCTCAACTCAATTCAAACTCACGAGCTAAAAATTATGAAGTTTAACTCGAACTCAAAATATAATATTGAAACTTGAACTCAAAAAGACTTGAACTCAAAAAAAATTATAAGCTCGATTGAAGCCTAAAATTCGAGCTTGATTGAAGTGAAAGAATAGTTCACTCAATGCTTACCAAAAGGCTCCATGATTTTGAATGCCAAATTACCTCTATTATTTATAGAAGTTAGTTGAGATGATCTTCTATGTTTTTTAGCCATGTGAGATTTTTTTTTTAAATTAAACCAAACAATATCATTTTGTTATGATTTTTTAGCCCCAAATTTATTTTTTAATTATAGTTATATAATTATATTTATTATTTAATATGTTTTACCTTAAATATTATGTTGTAGTTAATTTGAATTATTTTGTTTCACTTGATTTTATGGTTTTTAACTTATATATGTTATGACTTGCTTTGAATATGACTTGTGATATAAAAAATTATTTTTTATTAAATATTTTTGATATTTTTATTTAATTTTTTAAATAATTATGACGTCGTCCGATTCTTCCGACCGGTTGAACCAGTGAACCGGTAGCATGGCCGATTTGCTAACCGGTCCGGTTCTGAAAACCATGAGCACCGGATAAGGCAGCAGATGTACCGAAAGTATCCAAATCGAAATCAAAATCTAAGTCGACCCCGGAACCTGCATCGCCGGCAGATACACCGTACGGTGATGCAGCTGATCAAACAGCTGATGACAACGCAGGTGTGAGTTTTAAAGGTGGAAGGTCTGTTGCTGTTGGATTGAGCTTCTTGTTAGTGTTTTTGTTGCTTTAAGGTTTTTTACTTTCTTTCTTTTTTGTCTTCCATTTTCTTTTTTCAAACAGCTGATGACAATGCAGATTTTTTTATTATTGTTACGATTTTTAGTTTATAACTTCGAATTTTTCTTTAAAAAAATCTCAACTCTCACTTATCCACTGTTACAATTTAATTATCTTATAATTATTTCGAATTGTTAAAATAATTTATTAACATTTTTAGTTCTAAATTTGGGTTTAATTCCTCTTTAGTTATTAAAAATATACTATTGTTGAGAGCGAATAATTCAGTTTTTCTAATGGATTTATGAAAAAAATTGTAAATACGAGATTTGAATTTAAACGTATTTTGTGTCTGTATGAGTAAATTATTTTTCTATGAGTTGGATACATTGATCTCTTATTGTAACTTCAATTCAGGGACGGCACTAAGGGGGCAGCTATGGTCTTTGCCCATATAATAGCACTAGGGGTAGGCAGTATGCAAGATAAAATCATATTTTTATTTTAAAATATTTATTTTTATTTTTGAACTCGATTTAAAGTTTTTAACATAATAATAAAATTATACTTTATCTTTTTCTCATAAAAATCACCAATTTTGTTAAAAAGAAAAAATCCAAAGATTATTAAGATTTTTAATTATATTTGTAACTTAAACATACAATTAAAGTATTCTCCTATAACCATTCACACAAAAAA